TTAGGTTCCCTTATAAACCCCTTTAAGCAAAAAAGGGCACCCTTGCTGCTAGGCATGCCCTCATGGAGCGGAGTTTTGCCTTCTGGTAGCTTGGCGGCCGAGAGCTTTTTGGGTTTAGGGTTGGGTTGTGTGGTTCAGGGTTTAGGGTTTAGGGTTTAGGGTTTAGGGTTTAGGGTTTAGGGTTTAGGGTTGTTCAGTGGAATCCCAGTACCCTTGTTAAATCGGCTACCTCAAGTACCTTAAGCATCCAAAGCCTCGTTTTAGGTTGCCTCAGGATCTCACGAAACAGTGGGCTGTGACAACCTACGAAAGGTGGATTGTGGGAGTTCTTAATGTACTTTTGTGGCAAGCCAGAGGCCAACGAGCCACGTCTTGTCCCGAATGGGAGGAGCAGGGGTCCTTGTCGCCGTCGGAATATGGCTAAACCCGAAACCCTAAACCCTGACCCTAAACCCTAGACACTAAACCCTAAACCCTCAACGCAAACCCTCACTGAACACCCTAAACACCTCAAACCTCCAAACCTTAAGCTCGACAAACCCTGCTTGGGGCAGGGGCGTACAGTGGCTTGCCCTAAACCATAAAATCCTAAACCCGAAACCCTAATCCCTAAACCCTAATCCCTAAACCCTAAAATCCTAAACCCGAAACCCTCATCCTTTACTCGATAGAAACGAGCCCTTTGATTGCAGCCACAGTTTGGTGGTGTGAGGGTGACAGAAGTCAGAGCGCTCAGCTTGGCACCCTAGACCTGAAACTGGGGTTGAGCAGTTTCTACGGGCTTTTTTGAGAAACCTCCACCCCCAAGGGTCCATGTACCTAAATAGGGAATACTTGGGCCTTAAAGTACTTCCTATCTAGGGACTTTTTGGTCCAAGTATATAATGATGAGGTACATGGCCCCTTAGGGTATACAATCTTTATACCCCCCTCCCCCTGCCCCCCAAATCCACCGCTGAATCCTGGAAATTCTACGGCTCGAACAACCAGGGTTCGGCATTTCGGAGTTGGGGGATGTGGAGATCTGTGCGCCGCGCAAGATCATAGCATGATTGATTGTGTGCCATGTGTACCAGAAGCCGAGCCGTCTCAAAGACCCCCAGACACCAAAAGTTTCTTCAAAGCAAGTGAACATTGGTCAAAGGCTGGCCCTTTACCCTAGAACCGTAAACGCTGCACCGGCTGCACCCTGGGATGTTCCCGTAGTAGTTCTTAATCGGGATTGAAGTACATATAGACTGGAACTTCTCAGCCTAACCCTAAATTCGAACCCTAAACCCTAAACCCTAAACCCTAAACCCTAAACCCTAAACCCTAAACCCTAAACCCGAAACCCTAAACCCTAAACCCTAAAATCCCAAACCCTAAACCCAGAATGGCTGGGCTTCATCAGGCGGCTGCTGCGGCCGGCTGCGGCGCAACGACGCCTGGCGGAGTGGTCTGCACGCCGCGTGGGCACGTTTTCAGGGTTTTGGGTTCAGGGTTTAGGGTTTAGGGTTTAGGGTTTAGTAATTTAGGGTTTAGGGTTTGGGAAAAATGGTTGGGATGTTCCCCCCCCTATACTAACAGTCCGTCATCGGGATCATAATAGTGGGTACCAAGATCCCTATTAAGGACTGCTAGTATAAGGGGGAACTTCCCAATCTTGAGGGTCTATTTGGGTTTAGGGCTTATTTGGCCATATGATTGAGGTATTGGGTTTATACCGAGCATGGCCCGACCTGACTGCAAAGCCTTGTTCTAACGGTGCATGTACCGTATAAGTATATGCTTGGGCCCCAAAGTCCCTATATAGCAAGCTAAGGCCCAAGTACTCCCTAGGTACATGGACCCTCAGGGCTAAACCCGAAAAAGCAGACCTCAAGACCTAGACCAACTGCAAAGGCTTGAACCCTAAACACTAAACCCTAAACCCTAAACCCTAAACCCTAAACCCTAAACCCTAAACCCTAAACATCAGAAGCTGCGAGCGCTTCCGTGAGCATCGCGTGCAGTGGTGGCTCTGAAGGAAGGGAAACATGTCACTGCTGTTGTTGGTTGTGTAGGCGGTAGCGACAGCCGTGCGGCTTAGCAAGATCTCCGTCGAAATGCTTTCGAACCCTTAAATGCACTAAGTAGGCAACAAGTACCACATCTACTTGACTACCTAGCACGTTAAGTGTCGCTTTTTGTTGCGTGCTGGCGTCGGCTAAAAGCCGTGCGAAGCACGACAAGCGTGGGCGAAGAATGCCTGTGCCACCGATGGTCTCCGAGAATCCTTCGTCGGTGGGCCCCTCTTCCATCCTGGGAAAGCCGGCGCGAAGAGTGCCGAGCAACAAAAAGAACCTTAGGGATATTCGGAAAATGCTTTTTATATGTTGGGTATACTATGCTTCCTAAGAAGCAGCTAAAATTTGTGATTGTTGCTAGGGCTCCGAGTTCAAATACAGGAACATGCGCATCCACGGCAGCTTTGTGCGCGCTCCTTCCAAAGCGGCCGTCCACCAATACTGGCCGAAGCTGCAGGCAGGGCTCAAGAGTTACTTCTTGGCCGCCCAGTGGAACCCTTTTTCCCTTTTTTTGGGTTCAAGGTTCCCTTCGAAAGTAACTATTTCATAAAATGTTACCCTTGCTGGCCCAGTGGAATCCAGTTTTCCTCTTTTTTTGGTTCAAGGTTCCGTTAGAAAGTAACTCTTTCATAAAAAGGGGTGCCCTTGTTAGAAGGCGGTTACTGTTTTACCAAGGTTACTACTTGGCCAACTTCATGGCCGCCGTGGTTCTGTTTGACGCTTACTGCACTTGCGTGGACATTGATGCTCGGATGCCCAGAGTACCCTTCTTCCCTTTGCTTGGGGGCTTTAGGTTCCCTCATAAGACCCCTGTGAGCAAGAAACGCCCTGATTAATCCTAATCCCTAAACCCTAAACCCTAAGCCCTAAACCCTATAAGTGCCAAACTGGGCAACCGAGGATGCAACTGCTGCCGGCATGGAGCCTCCTCAGCTCCTGTCGATCCTCTCAGATTCTTGGCTTTCTTCTGGCTGGCTCTTAGGACTTTACCCCTTTTTGGGGGGTTTTAGTAGAAACTACACTAAGGGGCCTAAAAGGTAAGCTTTAAGGAGGGGTTCAGAAGTCAGCCAAGGATTGTTGCCTCGTGGCTTACACTCTTGAGCTTGCTGCCTTGCTCACTGTATTTGGATTCAAGCCGTTGATTGGCGATTGGATGATAGTGGTTGACGCCCTCATCATTGCCTGTGGCTGGGCGGAGATCCTTATTGCTTCCTTGGCCTCGGGAAGATTTGCCTTTCGCACCGCGGTGCTGCGCGCGCTGCGGCTGGTGCGGATATTTAGGCTCATGCGCTTGCTGACACTCGGAGTGCACTTCCCGATCTGAAGACCTTGCCCTAAACCCTAAACCCTAAACCCTAAACCCTAAACCCTAAACCCTAAACCCTAAACCTAAACCCTATGTTTGTTGTGCATTCTTGTACATGACGCCATTGTGGCACAAGTTGGCCTGAGCTTTGAATCTTCAACAGGGACCCAAGATATCAAGCAGTGTATTCCTCAATCTGGCAGGCAGACTCCCCAACTAACAAACCACAAACTCCAAACTCTACGCCTAAACCTGAAACCTCAAATCCTAAACCCTAAACCCTATACCCTGAACCCTAAACCCTAAACCCTACAGTTTTCCTCCCAACCAAAGGAAGAAGATACGCTTGCTGCGAGAGCTCTACAAGCTGGTGCTTCCTCTCAGTGTTGAGGGTTTACTGTTTCGTTCGGGCTTTCAGATGCTTACGTTTTTTAAACCCTAAACCCTAAACCCTAAACCCTAAACCCTAAACCCTAAACCCTAAACCCTAAACCCTAAACCCTAAACCCTAAGCCGGGCTTTGAGGCTCTCGGTGGCTTAGTGGTTGAGGGCTTTTGACTTGCCATTCTTTGTTGGAAGCACTCCGTGCATACCGTATATGAAACGCTTTAACTTAACATTGACACAAGATAGACGCAAGATAACTCAACAGCCAAATTTAATCTTCGTAGGGATGAGGTTCTTCGGCTGCTCCCAAGAGTGCTTTTGCCAACGTGGCGAACTCCCAAAACCACCCTAAACCCTAAACCCTAAACCCTAAACCCTAAACCCTAAACCCTAAACCCTAAACCCTTACGTGCGAAAGGCGCCCATGTGAGCCCCAAGTTGCTGCCGAAACTCCATAGTCAACGACCGCCTTCAAGTTCTAAGGTTGGAACCCTGGGCCCTTAGGGTTTAGGGTTTAGGGTTTAGGGTTTAGGGTTTAGGGTTTAGGGTTTAGGGTTTAGGGTTTAGGGTTTAGGGTTTAGGGTTTAGGGTTTATTTAGGCTTTAGGGTTTAGGGGTTAGGGTTTAATTCGGGCTTAGGGTTTAGGATCCAAAATCTGGGCCCTTCCAGTCCCCGACAACACTTGAGACCGCATGCACCTTGGGCGTCACTACCAGAGAGCGGATGAATCTGATACATCCATGTGGCCTAGGCATTCTGCGAAAGCGCCGTTTGCTAAACCCTAAACCCTAAACCCTAAACCCTAAACCCTAAACCCTAAACCCTGAACCCTGAACCCGGAACCCGGAACCCGAAACCCGAAACCCGAAACCCTAAACCCTAAACCCTAAACCCTAAACTCTATATCCCGGGCTCCTCCACATCCATGCTGAGCACCAGGTGATGATGATGGCCACATGCTTTCGGACACTGCTGTGGTCGTTCCTGTTGCTGGGGGCGGTCGTGAGAGTTTACGGTTTAGGAACCCTAAACCCTAAACCCGAAACCCTAAACCCTAAACCCTAAAATGTAAGTGTAGGGTTTTCAGGAGTTCCTTGGGGCTTTGTGCGTGCGAAACCACACCGTGGGCCGCAACTCCATTCTCTACCGTCAAACTTTCTCAAAGAGACCCCTAAGGCTCCATGTACCTGCATAAGGATTACCTGGGCCTGAAACTACTTCACCCTAAACCTTGAACCCTAAACCCTAAACCCTAAACCCTGAACCCCGCAAGTATATAGTCATAAAAGTGGACTGCTAGGGAGACGGTTCGAGGTTGTGTTTCCTGGTGATGACCGTCTGGGCCATGCTCATGGTGGCTTAGTAGCTGAGTGAGTACATTTTACACTTTTTGGGAACCCTAAACCCTAAACCCTAAACCCTACACCCTAAACCCTAAACCCTAAACCCTAAACCCTAAACCCGAATCTCCTGTAGAACTGAAAGTGTACACTTGTTTGGGGCTTATGAACTCAGCAACTAAGGTGGAGACCGTCAGCCCTCTGGTGAAGGATCCCGGGTGGCAATTTGTGTGGTGCACTTGGGGCTTGATACGAGTTTAGGGTTTAGGGTTTAGGGTTTAGGGTTTAGGGTCCCCTTAAGGGTCCATGTACCTAAACAGGGAATACTTGGGCTTCGAAGTACTTCCTACATAGGGACTCTGGGGCCTAAGTTTTTGAATGATAACAAGGTACATGGACCCTTAGGGACTCTGACAAAGTAACGTATTTCTAGAAGGCTACCAGCTTTTTTGCTTTAGCTTTTCACGTCAATAGTTTTGATGACATTGACTGCAAACCGCGCCCGAGGATATGAGCTTGAATCACGGCGTGTTTGACAATTGTGCGCAATGCACGAGAGCTGTGTCATCTGCCCCCCAGTTGCATTTGACGTGCTGGCAGATGTTGCAATTTGCTTTCTCAACCTGCTATGTAGTCGACTCACGACCGCAAGGGTGCCGTGAAAAGGAGTATCGAGACAATCCCCAAATATCAGTCGCGAGTGTAGTATCAGCCTATTTAAACCCTAAACCCTTATGCCACTTATGCCCACCCCGTCAAACACCAAAACGTGGTTGCTAACCCGCTTTTGGTTTTCTTGTTCTTTTGGGGCTGCAGCACGGTTGGGGATTGACTTGGAATCCTTCTCAGGCGGGAAAAAGTTTCATGTGGAGCTCTTCTCCTTCCCATTCTTTCGCAGCGCCCATGTCACTGCTGGAAAGGCAGCTGTTGTGTAGGCCCCGTATTCTCGTTAGGACATGGATTGCGCTGGCAATGCAGACTAAAGAGCCGAGGTCATGGATGCAAATTTGCTGCTCTTCAAAACTGTGATTGCTGGGGACAGCTGGGGCGAGGTCGCCGTTCCTGTAATTCAGGCTGGGGGACATCAAGAGCAGGCGTAGCTAGCTCCACTGCTCGCCCATATTGACGGTGGTAGTGATGTGAGGAGAGGCAGGAGGAGGACGAGGAGAAGTAGGATTTGTTGGAGTAGTAGGAAGAGCAAGAGTGGTAGGAGGAAAGGGAGGAGTAGGAGGAAAGGGAGGAGTAGGAGGAAGAGTAGGAGGAGTAAGTAAGAGGAGTAGTAGACGAGGAGCCGCCGCAGCAGCAGCAGCAGCAGCAGCAGCAGCAGCAGCAGCAGCAGCAGCAGCAGCAGCAGCAGCAGGAGCAGCAGGAGCAGCAGGAGCAGCAGGAGCAGCAGGAGCAGCAGGAGCAGCAGGAGCAGCAGGAGTAGCAGCAGCAGTGTTAGTAGTCGTAGTTGTCGTCGTCGTAGTTGTCGTCGTCGTCGTCTGACAGCAACAGCTTCTCAGATGTTACACCATCTTCTTGCATGCGTGAAGCCACCTCGGACAGCCGTCTCAACAGCGTCTCTCATATTCGATTTCCAGCATCTCACATGTGTGAAGTCACCTCTGACTGCCGTCTCACCTGACATCTCACATGCGTGCTTGCATTGATAATGTGTATGTGACATGTGCGGATTTACGGTTTAGGGTTTGGGGTTTAGGGTTTAGGTCTGGTGCGGCGGACGGGATGGGCGGGTGCAGACAAAAACAAGAACCCCACTGTAATGTGGAATAATATGCAAATAGTAACTAACTAATCTTTAATTCGCCAATAATTAGTTCATACTTGCTTCATATCGAGTTCAAAGTACATCAAAGAAAAATTGATTCAGAACCAAGAATTAATTAACACCGAATTACTACAAAGATAAGAATTATAAGTGATTAAGTAGCAGTTGCGCATAGAAGTACACCAAAACTTGCATTTCAGCCGGCCGGCAGGCCTACCCAGCAACTGCTTTCATCTTTGTCGGCTCCTTGCTGACGCTGGTCTTTGGAGTCCTGAACCTCATCGTTGCTTTGCTGGATGTGGGGGGGGGTTCCGAAGGGTTTAGGGTTTAGGGTTTAGGGTTTAGGGTTTAGGGTTTAGGGTTTAGGGTTTAGGGTTTAGGGTTTAGGGGTACCCTTTTGGGGTCCTGTTTTAAGGGAATCCTACTATTTGGGGTTCAATTTTTGGGGGTGCCCTATTTTCGTAAAGCCCCCACGTAGTGTAGCTGTTGGTACTACACCCCATGCACAAACCTTATTCGGCTCTATACATCCTGCCTTGCCTTCCAATTCTACGCTACCACCACTCTCTGGAGTTTGCGGCGTGCAAGAATGTGACCCGCAACAATAGGACGACTAGGATTGCTAAAGGTCGGGCGCCAAGGGTTCCTAAACCCTAAACCCTAAACCCTAAACCCTAAACCGTCTTCTGAAGGTCCAAGATGTGAGTCTAGTTAGAGTTGCACATGTAGCGTCTTCCTGACCGTTTGTGAAAAAGGCATCTCGCAGTATTGTCCCTACCCTTCGAGCGTCACGCTCACTTATGCGCTTAGTCCTGAACCCAAATGAAACCCTATACCCTAAACCCTGAACCCTAAGCCCTAATTTCGGGAAAACGGACCGGCGGGTGACTGTGTTGCGACACCTCGTAGACAGCGACCAGGAGCTACAGCCGTAGCTGCCTCGCAATCCCTTTTCTAGGAGGAGAATCTTTGTGAAAGTAAAGCGAAGGAGAGGAAGATCAGTGACTTGCAGGACCTGTTTCTGCTATCACCATTGAGATAGGCACTCATCTCGAAAACAAATCTTTGGCTGGCTAGCATGACATGCAAGGCAAGGGTTAGGCAGGGTGTGTATTGGGTCTCTGCTTGCTGAGTGGTGCTTAGTCCTACACTGCCAGCACGGCTGTTTTTCCTCGCTGCAAGCCGCACTCGACAACTAGTTTTTATGCATGCCGACAATTTGGTGGTGTAACGACAAGTAGGATGCCCGTCGCTACCAGGCATTTGCAGTGCAACAATCACCCACTGAATTCATGCCCCAGGCTTTACTTATCTGCACAGGTTGTAGCCCAATGGAACCCTTTACGCGTTTTTTTGTTCTGGGTTTCCTTATATATGTATATAAGTAACCAACCAAGGAAAGGGTACCCTTATCATAAGATGGTTGCTGGGCTACCAAGCAGGTTGCCGTTGTCGTCGACACCTTTGCAGACGCTCGGCTGAACGACGTTCAGACCTTGGCAGAGGAGATGGAAGACGAGATCGAATTTGACAGACGCCTTCCTGCAAAAGCTGAGAGCGTTGCCCAAGGTTTCTGTACATTGCCTCCGAAACATACCCCTGTGATCAGGACCCTTGGTACACATCTTCCTGCAAAGTTTCCGGTACTTGCCAGCTAGCAGGATACAGTTCTGGTTGGAAGCTGAAGCCAACAACCGCTGGGGGCTCTCGGGATGTAGGGTTTCTGAGGGTAGCTTCATGGCCCTCGAATCTGGTCCCCAACCTCCTTTAAAGGGTGCTGATGTATGGGCCCTTAACTTGTATAGGGTATATTCGTATAGACAGGGTATGTAAGGCGTACCCTTTCAAGGGCCCATACTCAGGGACACCATGTAGCCACCCTTAAGGGCCCTTAAGGGTTTGTTCTAAACCCTGAACCCTGAACCCTAAACCCTAAACCCTAAACCCTAAACCCTAAACCCTAAACCCTAAACGCTGAACCCTAGCATCACCCAAACTGAGGAATGTCCTTGGAAAAGATCTTCGCCCGAATCGACGAGGACGGAAGTGGCGAGCTGAGTCTCCCGGAGCTGATTGAAGGAGCTGAGTAGGTAACCTGCAATATTTTTTTGAAAAGGTTGACCCTTTTTGGCTGGTTTAGGGTTTAGGGTTTAGGGTTTAGGGTTTAGGGTTTAGGGTTTAGGGTTTAGGGTTTAGGGTGTAGGGTTTAGGGTTTAGGGTTTAGGGTTTAGGAGCCGCTTGAAGGAGCCAGAAAGGATGCTGATTTTCAGAGCCGCCTCCGCGTCATGGATGCTGGGGAGACATTCATGCTGGCTCGTTTGTAGGTTTAGGGTTTAGGGTTTAGGGTTAAGGGGTGTCGGGTTCGTCATGCTTCGTGGGTTTAGAGCGTTTAGGGTGTATAGGGTTATAAGGCTTGAAGCACCTTCCCTAAACCCTGAACCCTAAACCACCCTAAACCGTAAACCCCCAGCAATAGACCACGCCACCCCTTGTTTCTCCCACATGGGACACTAAACCTTCAACCCAAAGCGGCTCAGTCCATCCATCCGCTAAGTAAGGAGATTCAGGGGGTTTAGGGTTTAGGTTTGAGGGACCCGGAGGGTCTCACATGCAAAAGTGTGTTAGCGGACAACTATTTCTTGATTTCTGGACGAGCTCGACTTGCATGACATGGCTGCCCGGGCTTATGAGCTAAGGATATCGACGAGCAAGACTTGGAGCAGCTGTTCCACATGATTGACCAAGATCAGTCTGGAACCATTGAGGTGTCTGAGTTTATTGGCCCGCTATCCAGGTGGGCACATGACTCCAAGACGGCCCCCCGCTTCATCAAGTATAACATGATCCAGGCGCGCGTCTCTCCAAATTGTTGGTCGGAAGGAGGGCTTCTAGCAGAATGGGGAGTACTGGTGTAGTTGGACTCGAATTGTGCGAACTGCCCTTTGGACCCCACAGCCCTAAATCCTCAACTCACATCTCTAGACCCTATAAACCCCATACCCTAAACCCTGAACCCTGCACCCAGGCCATGCATCTCCAAGAAGATCTCTACGAGCTTTCCTTGGGAGCTTTTCGGCAGCTGGCGGCAAAGATTGAAGAATTATCTACTCAAGTTCAGGCGGGACAAACCAAAGAAAAGACGAATTAGAGTTGAGGGTTTTGGCGATGCTTCTTCAAGTTCAGGTGGGGCGTTCCCAAAAAAGACGTGTACTAGGACCCAGAGTAGGCCCTTATTTTATTACCTGTTTTGCCCCTTTAAACTTTAAACCAAAAATTGTACCCTGTTAATTTTAACGCTACGCGACCCGCCTCGGCCCGGCCCAGCGCATCCGCGTGAGCATGGTGATTCCGCAGCGCCCAAGTCGCTGGACCCCAAGCAATAAGGGTTGGGTTGAGGGTTGAGGGTTGAGGGTTGAGGGTTCCGGGTTTATGGTTTGGGGTTTGGGGTTGAGGGTTAGTTTAGGGCTCAAGGTTCACGCTTTGGGGTTGAGGGTTTTTTTGGGATTAGGGTTCGGCTTGGAGTGATCGTAGGGTTGAGCCAGGCCCCTTAAGGTTTAAGGCGACTCTTCGGCAGGGTGGGGGGGAGGGGGAGGGGAGGGGGGGGGGGGGGGAGGGTGGGGGGGGGGAGGGGGGGTGGGGGGTTGGGGTGAACAACGGCGGAGGGGCTTCAACTGCCTCTTGTCCTGGCGAACCGTCTGCTTGCGGACCCCAGTTTTTCAGACAGGGTACCCATTTGAGGCCAAAAAAGGGGTAGGGGTGGGGGGGGTAGGGGGGGGGGGGGGAAGGATAGTGGGGTGGCGCCCTGCTGGGATGGGCTGCAACTGCCTCTGGTCCTGGCGAGACATCCGCTTGCGGACCCTCCTCTCCTAGGGGGGGTACCCATTTGAAGCAAAAAAAGGGGGCCGAGCTTGGGGGGAGGATTTGGAGGGGGGTGCCTGTTCTGACAACCTATACACCTCGGCCCGAGGCCTCGGCGGATTCCTAGGCTACTCCTGGGTCTAGTGTATTGTAAGAAACTTAGCATTGATAGTTCATAGGGATCGTGTACTATGGGGATTGTGCTAGAGTTCCTGGTGGGTGCATCCAAAAAGTGGGGAACCTCTATTCTGCAAGCCTCGTAGCCTGACTTACAACTATGAAGCCCTCCCCCCCCTCGCCCCCCCCACCCCAAACCCCAAACCCCAAACCCCAAACCCCAAACCCCAAACCCCAAACCCCAAACCCCAAACCCTAAACCCTAAACCCCTTTGTGTGTCCAGGTGATGAAGCCAAGGGAGCTCTGCTTGGAGACCCAACCCGAAGGTGGAGGTGGAGCTCGTACGTCCGACTTGTCACCGCACGACATTCCAGCAAAGGACCTGCGTTTAGGGTTTAGGGTTTAGGGTTTGGGGTTTAGGGTTTAGGGTTTAGGGTTTTGGGAGTCTGCAGCAGTTCTGATTCTCGGTTGCAGCAGACTCCTTGGTTCTTCGTAGAGAATCAGGGAATTACGGCCCTACCTATACCCTTTAAGGGATAGTATAGGGTACCTCATTCTCTCATTCCCTATTAAGCACCAGCCAGCAGATGTTGCCTGTTGCTTACAACACCTCAAGATTAAAAAAAAAAAAAAAAAAAAAAAAAAAAAAAAAAAAAAAAAAAAAAAAAAAAAAAAAAAAAAAAACAGGGTTTAGGGTTTAGGGTTTAGGGTTTAGGGTTTAGGGTTTAGGGTTTAGGGTTTAGGGTCTTCATCCCAATCGCAGGACACGGGATTCCGCTTCTCGCTTTCTGCTTTTGACCACCGGCCTCCCAAGCATGACAAACAAGTTCTGCCCTCGCATACAGAAGCGACTGAAGTGACATCTCCAAAGGAGGAGGAAGGGCACGAGGCCAGCAGACTTGAGGCTATTCTTGAGTCTGCGGTCTCCAAAATTGAGGCCAAACTGCTGGATATTCTTGCAGCTTAGGGATACTTGGGAATAAGTTTTAGTTTTTGGGCACTTTAATTCCCCAGAAACACAAAAAAGTATAGTCTTTGCTGGGGTTCCAAGTTCCGTATAGCCTAAACCCTAAATCCTAGACCCTAAACCCTAAACCCTAAACCCTAAACCCTGCTTTATAGTATAGGCAGAGGATCGAGGCAGACCACGAGATCTACAGCAAGAAGCCAGCACCCAGGACGGCCGATTTCGCCAGCGCAAGGCAAAGAGGATTCTCCACCCCGAAGCCTTCCGGAGTATCTTGCCTTAGGGTTTAGGGTTTAGGTTAGGGTTTAGGGCTTAGGGTTTAGGGTTTAAGGTTTAGGGTTTATAGGTTCACTGGGTAGCCTGGAGCCCTGTATGGGCTACCAAAAAATCAACAGAAACCCAAAACCTCGACGCTGAGGCATGTACCTTGATCATGGCCGGCAAATCTCCTTGTCAGATGCCTGGCTGCATCTGGAAGCCTTTCTAGTCAACATAGCTGGTTTCGTGTTTAGGTTTAGAGTTTAGGGTTTAGGGGTTAGGGCTTCCCAACAGATATAACGGTTTGGGTTTAGCGAGATAGGGTTACACACCAACTCCCTAAACCCTAAGTGCCCACCCGACTTGTGTTAGGCCGTACACACCCTTATCTAGGGTGCCTGGACCAAGAGCTATACCTGACAGCCCATACACCTGTGGAGGCCCTGGACGCTGGCCTGAAAAATGTTGAAATCTGGGGTTGGGCTGGCCCCAAAACCTGACACTCGTGCTTTCGCGTGCGATGCCGCCCGCCCCGCCCCCCCCCCCCCCCCCCCCCCCCCCCCCACACCCCCGGGTGTGCCGGGGCGCCATGTCCACATGTTGCTTACTGCCGCTGCGCGGCGAGACGTCCTAAACCCTAAACCCTAAACCCTAAACCCTAAACCCTAAACCCTAAGCCCTAAACCCTAAAATCCCTAAGCCCTTAACTCATCCTTGTACAGGGACCCCTCAAAATGGACCCTGACTCTGGAAACGTCAAGCTGTGATGCAACAGATCCCGGCGCAAGTCAAGGATGTGCCGGACTCCAGCAGGAGAACTAGGAGGCTGTCCCTGGCAAATGATTCTGCTCTCATACTATGTTCTGGCGAGCTCCTTAGCTGTCCAGTGGGCAACCTTTCACCTTCTGACTTTGGGGTTTAGGATTTCGGGTTTAGGGCTCAGGGCTTGAAACTAATTTGAACACCCTTAACACCCAATTCCCGAAAGCCGAACCTTAGACAATGGACTCAGGCTTCGTCCTGTGCCAGAGGCAGATGCTCACCTAGCTTCGGACGGAGGTTCTCCGCAAATCCTGAACGCCCGGAGCCCGAGAACCTTCCCTGTCAACTTCCCACCTATGCAGTCTGTACAGATGTGAGGGTTTCCCGAACAAGAAGGGGAACCTGATTTTAAGAAGCGTGCCGTATATCCCTAATCGAATACCCTTATACTTTCCGCTGTGTATATATATATATATAATATACATACATACATACATACATACATACATACATACATACATACATACATACATACATACATACATACATACATAGACATATACATATTTACGTATATGGTCACCTCCCTTCCGCTAAACCCCAAACCCTTCAAGCCCGACGTCGCTTCCCTAAGTGACAGCTGTCGTGTGGTACTTGTTGGGGAACATAGCTCGGCGGGTTCCAATGCCTACGTCGGCCATTACTTATGGTTGTTTACTTGGGCCCCAAAGGCCCAAGTATACCCTGTTTAGGTACATATGGACCCTGAGGGTAACGAACCCTAAACTCTACACCCTAAACCCTAAACCCCAATCCCTAAACCCTAAACCCTAAACCCTAAACCCTAAACCCTAAACCCTATTTCTTTATTACATGGACCCTTCGGGTTAGCGCTATAGCTTGGCGGTCGCTTCAGAGGGGTCGCGCTGGTGCGTAGTTCCGCTGCACCCCAGTGGCATGAAGGCGCTTTTGCCATCAGCCGATCTACCATTTCAGCTCTTGGGGTTTGGGGTTTAGGGTTTAGGGTTTAGGGTTTAGGGTTTTGGGTTTTGGGTTTTGGGTTTGGGTTCTGGCCCGGTCTGCCAGATCTTTGCAAGTTTGGCGCGGCCGCAAGATGACAAAAGGTATGTGCAGATCCGATATTCTAAACCCTAAACCCTAAACCCTAAACCCTAAACCCTAAACCCTAAACCCTAAACAGGGCTTCTATGGCTCATATGGGGGGGGGGGTTTACAACAATAGGGAGCCCCTAATGTATACTTTTGGGATCACCTTACAATAAGGACCCGACGCGGATTCCCAATCTCGTAAACCACCATATACCTTAATATGGGGTATATGACCCCTAATTTTGGGGTTCATGTGGTTGCCCAGGTCGCTACCCAGGCTTCTTGCAAGCGGGTTTAGGGATTAGGGTTTAAGGTTTAGGGGTCAGGGTTTAGGGATTAAGGTTCAGGGTTTAGGGATTAAGGTTTAGGGTTCAGGGTTTAGGGATTAAGGCTTAGGGTTCCGGGTTTAGGGTTTAGGGCACTTCCTTGGAGCCGCTCTTGGTAGCCGAGTGGTACCCTTTCGGCCCTGTTTGGGGTGCTGGGTTCCCTTCTAAAGCAACCAACTTCAGAAGAGTTACCCTTATTAGAAGATGGTTGCTGGGCTACCCTGGGGTTTAGGGTTTAGGGTTACTGGGCTACCAAGCGATAGTGCACCGAGTACAGCGGTTTCCTTTCGTGTCTCCTACAAAGCAGCTTTGAGTTCTACATTTATGTAAGGTACATGCAGTGCGAGTACGGTTCTTAATTGAATTGAACCCTATATATATATATGTACATATCTATATATACCCTAAAAGCGCCTGAGTCCTTTTGACCCCTGAATTTCTAAGTACCCCAAGTGCTTTCAAGACCCTGACTACCATGAAATATTCCTGAGCCCCCAGACCATTCTAGGGTTCTTAAGGGAGGGCGTTTCATAGGGGGCAGGTACCTAGGGAACCTTAGGGAAGCCTCGGGAGCCTTAGGCAGTAGTGGGGAGTACTAGGGTGCTTTGGGTTACATACCCCCCTTGAACCCTAAACCCTAAACCCAAAATCCTAAAACCTAAGCCCTAAACCCTAAACTACACCAGGGCACCTGCACTCCTTGGCCGAGCATGGCCTGCTGGCATTCTGCTTCTTCAGCGCGGGCACTT